GTATTTCCCTAATAACTAAGGGGTCTTAGAATAATATATCTAATTAATATCTCATTCCTTCAATCATCTGTCTGTAACACATTACGTACAATTCGGATCCCCCTTAAAATAAAAGTAATGTCGTTATTTATTTTTTAAAAAATAAATAAATTGAAATTTGATACGAAACAAACAATTGAGCAACAAACCAAATAGTATTTGGCACATATCGATGAGTATCGATATCAAGCCATGGATTCAATAAAGGGCAGAGGAGTAGCACGTGCATGCAATTTACTCAATGTTTGTTTTTAAGAGTTTCAGTTGTCAAGACTTTAGACTTTAGTGGTTTTCTGAAATCTAAACAAGTTTAATCGTTGGCAAGCACCCAAGTATGTAAACGTGTGACAGAAAATAAACAAAAATAATATTTAGAAATTCATTACTCTGTGTGAAGCAATAATAAAAATGATATATGCATTTAAGTTAGGAAATAAATTGTCTTAATCTAATTTCATTTTCGATACACTCCAAAAATATCCATATATACATATATATATTGGAGACTTTCTTAGCTCTATATACTAATAATAATAGACTAATAATAATAGACTAATAATATATATACTAATAAAACAAAAAGAATGATAAACTATAAACTATAAAAAGCCTTTGAAGCTCAATCATCGATGATAAATCTAGAAAAATCTAAGTTCCTAACATAGAATAGTAAATATAAATCATTGATTTGAAACGTCCCAAGTGAGTCTTCATATATTTACAATATAAACATCCATGAATTATTTGATTAATTGATTAATTTTCGTTAAATATTTTAGTTAAGAAATAAATAAAAATAGTAAAAATATAAATTACAAAAATCATTGATATTCCTTAAATACAAATTAGCTATATATTAATGATCCTGTATAATTAATGCAAATATTTTCTATATATTTCTACTGCTCTTCACTTTTTAAAATACTTTACTCTAAATTTAAGACATATTCCGAAACCCACGTCTTTCGTGAACTTAGCATTTTCCACAAAATAACACTTGACTTTTTTTCTGCAGACTTTTTGCAGTTTTTTTTAATAGCAGAAATGCTTTAAAGATCGCCCTGTAAGATTTGAACCCACCAAAATCACCTCTTATATATGAAATAACATACTCAATAAGCAGAAGACTATTTATGTGATATCAATTTCATGACACTACATAAATCCCCACCAGATGATTTCGAAACCGAAAATAAAAATAGTGATGGAGAAATTTATACCGGTACAGACAGAAATTTTTAAAATACCTTACCTGCAAATGAATTAAAAATCAAATACCATCATCAAATACCGATTTCAAATGAAGATGAACCGGTTCTAAATAAAAAGTTAGAAATGTAGTGCTAACAGATAAATTTCAAACTAATTGCCATCAAGTATTCTACTATAGCATCACAATTTGAAAATATAGCTGAAGCAGATGAATTTTTAGCTAAGTATTGTCATCATACATCATATTTATCATATATATATGGATATATAATATATATATGGATATATCATATATATATGGATATATCATATATATATGGATATACCATATATATATGGACTGCACTCCAATTGGAGGTCTGGACACCATACAAATAAACAACCAATTTTCATAGAACATACAGAATGATACATTTATATCATTAGAGCAATTTTTATATTTTTACGATACATACTAACAAATAATTAAAATCGAATAAAATCCATTAAGAACTCTATCTATATTTAGCATATATAACCGCAGTTCCGATCATAAGTAATTAGTAGGAGTTTATTAGTTGAAGTAATTGGTATTTAAAATTCACATTAAAGTTGTACATAATCACTATTGCAAATTATTCTTTTCAACATATTTATTAGAATTTAATAATACTTTTGGCCCCTCCTGATTGTACCTATACTTGTAATATTCCATAAACGCTATCGATGCTATAAAAAACAATTTTTAGATTAATATTTGAGATTAATTTACGAATTATAATCAGTCAATAGAAGGAGAATTATTTAATAAAATAATAGTTAAAGTTAATTATTTTATTACTTTTTAGAACCAAAACTTTTATTAGAATTTAGAATTGCAAAATATAATCATGTGTAATTAGTATTCATTTTCAACATCAAGAATCGGACCATATTTATTTATTTATTGCCTTTCAAGTGTAACATAAACCTGTCTAAAAATAAATAATACTTTAACCACAAGAAATATTATCTAAACTTTTTTAAAAGCTTATGAGATTGCGACAATCGTACTAACCTAAGAAAATTACGCTACTGCCGGTATGAGTGACAATTAACAAACTAAACTCTAATATACGTGTATGTAGATTGGTGAGAATATATATATTTAAATTTTGATATATCATTCAGTTTTAATACATTTTTTTTAAATTAATTTTCAAACATTTACAAGCTAAAGATATTGGCGAAATAGAATCGCTTAAATAGAGTTGTTAATCATATATAATTATAGTAAAAATATATATATTATTAGGTTCTCTTGTTAAATAGCGCTGAATAATCAAAAAAAAAGTAAACCATGAATCTTTAGCTACAAAAAAGTACCACTTCTGCTTCTTCAATGATCTTTTAATATATTATCAAAATGATATTAAAAGAGAAAATAAACAATATGAGTCAAGAAATAAGTTGGCACAAGAAACTTAATTACGTAAGAAACTGGAATTAAGAAATTCCCAAAATCATAACTTCTTGCAAAAAGAAATGGAAATCTGCATTCTGAATCAGTGATCTCTCCAAAAGCTATACCATCAAACCCTTCAAAAACCTAACCCCCTGTTAACGACATTCCGCAGATACCATGATGCCACTATTTGCCTATTCATCATATATTGTATTTAAATATAACTCCACTCATGAGATCCAAAACTACAAGCTCTCAGTCCTTAAAATGGTTTTACCCAGTGTATTGTGTATATTATAGTAGGCTCTCGATAACATGAGCTGTTAAAACCAAGAACCATGAAGTTTAGTAGTGATATTATTCATATTTCGAAAGTTACAATATATTAATGAGCTTTTGAAATATTAATAAATTTACAAATTAATGATTAATGAATAAACCAAAAATAAAACTTTAATTTTCATCTTTAATCCAATCCAAAGCCTTAATTCAAAATATATACATTGTTTTAATGTAAGTGAAAGTCTTCACTTACCTCTCTATTTAAGCACTTGAACCAATAATATTCGTCCAGGGCAGTACAATTTTTTCCTTATAAATTGCTAAATAGACAATGTTTTTGTTATCATGAGTCTACTGTATTTACTATAGATACATATATCTGAAGCACAGCTTAAAATATACAAAACATCTTGCTACTACTTAGTCTATTGACATTTTCGGAATATATTTATAATATATACATTTATACAAAATATAAGGTAAATAAACATTTTTATATTACTGTTTCATTTCAATTCATAAAAAATAAATTACTTATTTATACATTCAACAATTCATCAGAAAAAAATCTACTAAACTATAAAAACCGTTCTTGATGAATATCGTCGATTTCAGCAGAATTTTAAATAAATTTTGTATCTGCATTTTGTCGCACTATTATTTTTTCGCTTATGTCTGCAAAAGCTTCATGTGTAGTCCACAATGTCTCAACCTCAATCAATCGGCATAGGCAGCAAAGCAATATCTACTATATTATAAATATGAAACAATCTATGTTGAGATATAAAAAATATATGATATTTTATACAGTTTTAATTTTTTAGTCTTAAATATGACATAAATAGTATGTTAATATACAATATTCTTTCTTTTGAAAAACTTATTCAATTATCTTCTAATCATATTACTTACTTAATTGACCATTATAGACGTGAATCGTCGTTGGCCGCGTCTAATAGCCTCCACCAGCCAGATCAATCAGGGTCTTGCTGTCGCCAGTTAGTAGTGCCGAGTACCCCCAAATTCTTGGACATCTGGTCCTTGTATCGAAGATGCGGACGTCCTTTACCACGTTTTCCACCTGCAGGTATTGAATCAAATACCTTTCTAGCCGGAACACTTTCTTCCATACGGACGACATAACAAAGCCAGAGCAGGTGTTGAATTTTTATGCACTTAACTTTGTGAATGTTGCGGTGTAAGTAACACAGCTCATCGTTCCATCTAATTCGATAGTCGTTGTCAACGCGTAAAGGACCATAGATCTTCCAAAGAATTTTTCTCTCGAATACTCCTACCGCCTTGTCATCACTGTTGGTAATTGTCTAAGTTTCTATATCATACAGCAGGAGAAAAATGATAAGAAACTTATAGAGCGTGATTTTTGATTTATGTTTGTCGAGAGACTGCTTTAGTTATCAATTGGCTTTTTAACCCGAAATAATATCTATTGCCAATAGAGATTCTTTGTTGAATCTCGAGGCTGACGTTAGTATTGGTGTTTACGCTGGTTCTCAAATAAACAAAGTCTTTTACAACTTGGTTATTAACTTTATTTTGTCTTCATTAACGGCAAGATCCATTTGATTCGCTTGTTTTTCTAAATTGGAAAATGCCACACTGACGGTGCGGGTGTATAGGCCAGCAACACACTTTTGTAGAATGTTGTGCCAGTGCGGTTTAAATTTGCTGCACGGATCATCGTTTCCAACATTAGATTAAACTAGTCACGCCACATGTACTGTTCAACGGCAGCTTAAATTCTTAATCTACAAAATTCTAGATTCTTCATATTGCTTATACAGCATTTAAAATCGAATAGAAGTAGGAGTAATATAAATAACGTCTTTATCATACCAAAACACTGAATATATAAATAATAAGTTATAAATTTTCTAACACTCTATACATAATATATATAGTTCGTATTTATTGCGCTCTAAGAAACCAATAATACTGCCGGAAAACACAGATCACTGAGTTGATCATTTAAATAAATTACAAATATTTTGATATATTTGGTTATTCTGTAGTATGTAGCTTTTCAAAGCTTATCAGAAGTCAATGCTAAACTCAAGCTCTCCAAAACAAGATAATATATTTTTGCACAAATAACATAAAATTTACCAAAATATTTCTTAAGTGGTAGGCAGTGCGATTATACGTTGGTTAACTTTTGCATCGACTAATTGCTCTAGCGATATTACAAAATGGATTTAAGTGGCAAGAATGTTGTTTATTTGGGTGGCTTCGGTGGTATTGGTTCCAAATGTATTGAAGAATTTCTACAGAAAGGCATAAAGGTATTATATACGCCAAGAATTATTTATAAGAAAGTAACTCTTGACATATTTTTTTAAAAGAATTTGGCGATTTTTGATTTGCACGAAAATGCAGCTGTGCTGGAGAATTTGAGGAGCACCTATACGGCATCTAATGTTTTTTATATAAAAATGGATATTACCGATAAAAATAGCATTGAAGCAGCATACAATGAAGCTGCAAATAAAATAGATCACTTTGATGTGATAGTGAATGGGTGTGGCATTATGAATGATAGTCTTATCGAACTGACTATACAAATTAATTTAGTAAGTCATAAAATCTTTTCATAAGAACTATTTCTTAATATTTCAACACTTAGTTGGGGCTAATACACAGTACATTAACTGCTATGAAATATATGAGTAAATTAAATAATGGCAAAGGTGGACTTATTGTTAATATATC